ATAATTAAATTAAACAAAAGAATATTTTTATAATTTAAATGTTGGTTTGTAAAAGAAATAAAATTTATTCAAGAGGAAATAAAACTTTTTTTGGTGTTTTATATCGAATATAGTTAGAAGATGGATTAGATTATAAAATGATATGGAATGTTAATGTTGGGATTATACTTCACCGAACCTCACTTTCATGCATATAATAATCACTCAATCTTTTTTCACATTTAATGTTAATGTTAACCCACTAGTATACTCAAACCCTAATTTCTTAAAAGAAAGAGCCTAAGTTCCTTATTAAGCATCAATTCCTTGAATGCTTAATAAACAAACTTGTATTAGTAGCAAGGGTTTAAGACAACTAATGAGTCAAGTTCTATCCCTAGATAGAAACTCTATTAGGTATTTTGTTCCAATTCAAGATTAAAAAAGATATTTTTCAATATCTAATGAATCAAATATCAAGTTATGGTTAGTCACTCCACAACAAACATTAAGAGAAGAAACAAAATATTAACATTGAAATGGAAAGACACACACACATATATATAGAATAATACAAATTACATGAGAGTTTAGTTCGTTACATCTAATCCCAATAAAATGGATTTAGCCCCTCATTGTCATGAAGAGTACTAAAAGAAAATAAGATGTATGGTGGAAGATGGAGAGCCAAGGAGAGGATTGGAGGTCTTCAAGCAAACCCTAGCAACACTTAAAGAGTCCTAAAAATCATACCCACAGTGATCCCATTGAATAATGCCCCTCATCCCTCGAAAAGAGGGAGAAAAAGTGATTCAAAACTATCACGTCATAAAAATGTCACCCAATGCATATTATGTCACGTCGAGCACTAACATTAGGGCACAAAGTAAGGGCTCTCTACCAAAGAGGTGTTGGGCATGAGTAGTGCAACACCCAGCACTGAAGTTTGAGTGGCTCTCTACCAAGACTGCGCTTGGTGCAAGTAAAGTGGCGCTCGATGCTAAAGAATATGATGTTTTTTTGTCTAAATTATGCCGAGAATAGGTAGAGCAACACCCAACGCTGGAAGCCGCCTTCCTTTGTTCTTCAACTTCTCTTCTTTCTTGGCTTCCATGCACTTCCTGATGACTATATGTTAGACAAAAATTGAGAATTAGTGGCATAATTAAATGACAGTAACCAATATCCAATTAATTACAAAAAATCATAAAAAGGAGGACTAAACTTGTTAAAAACTAGAGAAGAGTTGATTTTGTTAATACAAATGGTTAATAATTTTAGGTGAAAATTATCATTATCAAGATGAGATGAAGATGTGTTAATGTATTAATGTTGTTGATGTTTTATATTATATATATACGTTATTTCTTTAAAACTTTATCTTACTCTTGCGTGTTTTCATGTAACTTAGACTACGATGATTATATATGATATGAGAACAGGATAAGGATAGGTATGAGGTGATTTAGTGGAGGCTGCTTAGTGGTGCAAGAACCGGATTTGATGACTACCTTTAGGTGGTTCTTGTATAAATAATAGTAATTGTTTAACCTACAACTTAAGTTATATAGTTTACATTTACATGATTATTTTGTATCTATAATGCATATATTTGAATAGTTGCTTTTATCTCTAGATACAAGCTTTATAGTACATCTTCTTGTATTTGTAGGTATATACAACCTTAAGTTAATAATTTTTTCGTTACTAGTTGTTTATCGTTAAGTGTGGGAACTATGGCAGTTCATTACATAAATGAAAAAAGGCCTTGTCTAATGATAAATGTGATTTGTATAGTATTTTTAAGGATACGATTGTGTTTTAATTTAAGTGATTTGTGTGAATTTATTGTTTAATTGTGTCGTAATGATGTTAATATTGGTTTATACAGTGAATTTATAATTTGTGTGTTTTTGTAGAATTTTTAGAGAAAAAAATGAAGTAAATTGAAAGACAAGGGTGTGAAGTCATGGAGAGGTCAGAAAGCAACAAAATTTTTGTCGCATGCCAACTCTCAATACCAAAGCTAGAGTTAAGCGTTAAGGATGAGACTAAGCACCAAACTCTTTGAAAGGAGTATTTTTGTACAAAAAGAGATGCTCAACACTATTTTAATTAATGTTGAGCATCATAGTGCATAACTACTACGAAATGTAACTAATTTAAATAGTTTGGATAGTTTTTTAGGGTTAGAACTACTACAGAGAGAAACTTTGGGATTCAAAGCATTTGATGAACAATGAGATTCATGGTTCTTTTAGCATCAACTTGACACAAAGGTTAATAGAAATTTGGGAGAAATTAAATAGGATAATTCAGTAAGGAATTATGATTAAGTTTCAGTAGAATGGTGCCAAAAAAATAAGCAGAAACATGTTTTATTGATTCCAAGTTATACTCATATTGATGTAGTTTCATTCTAAATCTAACATATTTTAATCCATTATCAATTATTTTCTTGCATATCATGTGTTTGATTAAATATTCTTACATAGTTTTTATACACCTTAACTCAATTTTACTTTTGGTTAATTAATGATGAGTATGAATTATACTAGAAATGATTTACTTATACTATCTACTTGTTAAGATTTGGTGTACTTGCTAATAGTCACAAACGAAACTAATACCTAACTTTATGAAAAGTATTCTTATCTCCCTAACATCTTTTGATTTGTTTATTTTCTCTCCATGTAAGTTGTATATAAAATTGTGGGATATAAATCTTTAAAGTAAGGGAAGTATCCTTTAAAGTATATAATAACTATTAATGCGAAAATTAATAATTTTAATTTTTTTTATATAGCCATATAATAATTCTCAATAATTGATTTTATAATCAATGATTATCAACATAGATTATTCTCCAAAATGCTTCTCTTTCCACTTTAGAGGAGATTTTTTTTTTAAAAAAATGTAAGTTTCACTTTATCTAATAAAATTTACTCTGTATATAAAATTAAATTACATGATTTGCCTAATGAAACTCTCCTTTTTGTTACTCTTCCAATTAGTTTATTATTTGATTTTCTCACTTTTCTCAATTTTGAATGTGACTTTGACTTACAATTACTTAGCGTAAAATAATTCTTTTTCACTTTTTTTTTTATCTTTAGGTGACTTAATTTATTAGTTTATTAATTAATTTTAAATTATAATAAAAAAAATTAGAAAGCTTTTCTATCATTACAAAATTTTTAATTTATTCTTATGTAACATTATCCTTGCCATTTTTAATTATTTAAAATATATTAAAATAATAAAAAAATTCTGTTATAAAAAATCTTATCCGATATTACTCGTATTTTTATTTTATTTTTACTTGTAGCAAAAAAACAATTAAAATTTCCATTTATCCTTGCAATATCCTATTTAAATATTAAAATATATAATATTTTTTAGTTTTCTAAAAAATATTAATAAAATATAAAAGTTATCCATATATTATATGAATTAAATTACTAGTATATGTTATTTATAAAAACAATTCTCTTGTATGTTTTGCCACTTCATTAGCTTCTAGCTATAACATGCTAAGCAAGATGCTTAAAAATAAGATGTCTTATAAAAATCTCCTTAACGATCAATGAAAAATAATAAACAATGCATATTGGAATAATAAAGAAATAAATTCAAGAATTAAATTGAAAAATATGAAATGAACAATATTTTTTTAATAAATATAGAAAATGAAAGATATAATTTAACTTTTAAAAATTAATTTTTATCAAAATTCATGATAAAATAAACCTAAACCTAAATATGATGACATTGGGGTTGATTAACTAAATTGTCAAGATCTCGTGTGTACCATGGGAATTGAATATACGATGGTGCATATATTTTAATGCTGTGTTTAATTAACGATATAGGGTAACTTTGCATTAACGCTACGAGATCAAGAATTCAAACCCGTAGTTGCTTTCAGTTAATACAAGATTTCATTTTCAGTGAAGGCCTCCATTCGTGTTATTTATAATTTTTCTTCCCTTTCTTGTGTTAGGTGATGTAACTTCCATTTCTTTAATTTCCCCGAGGATCTAGTAGATAGTTTTCTTTAGGGTCTCTTTCTCACCAAAAAGAAGAAAAGAAAATTAAGAATTCAGATGGACATTTTCCTAATGCTGAAACAATTAACAATGTAGGCAATTTTCGTACGGGCTTAGATTTTGTTAAACATAAATTATTTTAATAATTGTTAATATAATAAATAATATATAATTACAATATAAAAGATTTTTACACTGTTATTTAATCATAAATCACTATATAAAATAAAATAATTTATTTTTAATATAATTGTCTTTAAAAAGTAAAAAACAATTATAAATTTTGATTAGTTGACCTTGCAAAATCTTATTTTTATTAATAACACGTGAATATTAAACTATTGATCATATTTTTAATTTTTATTGTTATTGTTCGATGGATAGAGACTTATCATCGAAATATTCAATGTCATTTTTTTTCCCTTCCGAGTACTATTTGTTTTGGTCGAAAGAGAGGGTTGCTAAGTTGTAATTGATTATATGAAAAAAGCTTTTTATTTGAATATATTGAGAAAAATGGTTTAAAATAATTTGTTTCATTTAAATTGTTCTGTATATAGAGTATTTTTTATAATAAAATCAGCATTTAAGATTCTGTTGGTTGAAAAAGTATCTGAGTTAACCAAACTTCTTCATCCTGTGATCGCAAAACCTGTATTAAAACATCGAAAATTAACCTAATACTCCAAGGATTCATAGTATTAAAATAATGTTTTCTACCTCTCACAAATAAATTAATCCCAAGTTATTGGTTTGGAATAAATAAAAAAATATATATAAAAAAATAAATTATAGTCTCTACTGTAAGCAGCTTGAATGCAACAGCGACGGTGGGATGGTTCATCTAGAACTGAGATCACCAGCGGCGGCATGACGGAAACGAAATAAATATTTGTGCAATTAACGTGAGAAACACGAAATAAATAAAGCGAAAAAATTGCATATAGATCAAAGTCAGTGTTCTATAAATACTACGTATCCAAAGTACAGTTCTGCACCACAAGCCATTGATTGGTTATTTGATTACTTAGAAAACAAGAAAAACACAGACATTGCTTGTGTTAACAATGCCTGGAGCTGGAAAAGATAGGATCCTGGTCCTGGGACCCACAGGAGCCATTGGAAGGCACATAGTTTGGGCCAGTCTTAAGGCTGGCAATCCCACATATGCCTTGGTCAGGAACACCCCTGGCGACAAGAACAGGGTAAGCCTTGTCAAAGCTGCTAATCCTGAAACCAAGGAAGAGCTCCTTCAGAGCTTCATCAATGCTGGAGTTAATATAATCGAGGTACATACGTGCTTTCATTTCAACACCAATTTCTATACGTACTATTTCTTTCTGACAAAATTAGTAAATATTTTGTAACCATAACCTTGTTAAAGGTATCTGTTTATTGGATTCTGTAGGGGGATATGATGGACCATGACACTCTGGTTAGGGCAATAAAGCAAGTTGATATTGTAATCTGCACTGCTGGTAGACTACTTATAGAATATCAGGTGAAGATCATTGCAGCAATCAAAGAAGCTGGAAACGTCAAGGTAAGCATTAATTTCCATTCTTAGACTCATATTATGATATACTTTATGAATTTAACCTATGCTATAATCATTGACGTGAGGTCTCTTTGAGAAAATTTTAAGCATGTGTATATGTATACTTTTTGTACCGTGGACCTATTTTTTATTTGGTTGAATCCATTGACCTTACTTTTTCACTTTATTGTTAAATTTTGTCATTTTCTTACTATTTTTAACTTTGGTACGTACTTTAAATTTTATTTGTCAACATTCAACAGAGGTTTTTCCCATCTGAATTTGGGTTGGATGTGGACCGTCACGATGCAGCTGAGCCAGTTAGAGCAGTTTTCGAGGAAAAAGCGAAGATCCGAAGAGTAATTGAAGCTGAAGGAGTTCCTTACACTTACCTCTGTTGCCATGCATTTACTGGTTATTTCTTACGTAACATGTCGCAGCTTGACACCGCTGATCCTCCTCGTGACAAGGTGACTATTCTTGGAGATGGAAATGTCAAAGGTAATAATAATATATATAAATAAGAACGGTTTTGTTTTAGCACAAAGGATAAATAACATATGCACAATTCAATTGCCTTATTAATGTGTGCAATATTGGATTTATTTGTTTCAGGAGCGTATATAACTGAGGCTGATGTGGGGACTTATACCATTAAAGCAGCGAATGACCCTAGAACCTTGAACAAATCCGTACACATAAGACTCCCTGCCAATTATTTGACCTTAAATGAGGTCATCTCTTTGTGGGAGAAAAAGATTGGGAAGACTCTTGAGAAAACTTATATTCCAGCGGATCAAGTTGTTAAGATCATTAAGGGTCAGTCACACTAGCAGTAACATTCATTTTAAGACTTTACAAATTCATTTTTATAGGATAGGATACTAGTGCATGCATGCAACATATGTCAATTATATATGTGAGGCTAAGCATTTCTTGATTTATAATGCTTTTTGCTTTACTGCAGGGACTCCTATACCAAATAATTATCTTCTGGCATTGTTCCACTCACAGCAGATAACAGGAGATGCAGTGTATGAGATCGACCCTGCCAAAGATGTTGAGGCTTATGAGCTTTATCCTGATGTGAAGTACACCACCGTCGATGAGTATTTGAATCAGTTTGTCTGATTTATGAAAGACGAAGAATTATCTCACTGTCATATCACTATGCTACTGCCTAATAAAATAAATGCCAATTTTCCTTTTTTATTTATTTTTTAATAAAGGCATTGCATGCAGGTTTGTACTTTTGCAGCACTACCCGCCTACTATTATTTGTGTTATTCACCAGAAAAAAATAATATAAAAAAAAGTCTACCATTGTTTGTAGTATTCGTTTCTCAAACTTTTACATCACTCATACGTTGTTGGGAGCGAATTGTGTAATCTTTACGCGGGAACACGTCACCATGCAAAGAAAAAAATAATAATAATAAAACCTATCATTTAGGTATTGCCGATTTCTCGTGAACTGAAACTGGACATAGCCTATTGTCACGATTTTATGGGTAGGTGCTCACTTGGGCAAAAATGAATTATATTTAAAAATGATTATTAGAATTTCATATAAAAATTAATAAATATATTGTTAGGGCTACTCGAAAACCGTACAAGTCGAAAGCTACATGTATAAAGCTACTCAAAAGGAAGATAAAAGTCAACACCTACCAGGAATGTATTAGGAACCGTAATTGTTAGTGCTCGAGATATGATCGAAAAGGAATTGATCGAGTAGAACAAAGACTGCTCGGAAAAAGCGAAAAGAGGTTACTGGAGGTTTGTGACGGTTAAGGCGCGTTAAGGTGGTTATTAAAGGTCAAATCAAGAAAATGAAAACGTGGGACAAACGGTTACAAGAAGTTATGAATTTGAGTCACGTAGTGAGCTTAGTGGAGAGCGGTTATGCACCGAATACGCACACGAACAAAATTAACTGCCCTCGACCAGCTCTATAAATTTGAACAGCGTAGCGATGTAGTGGGATCGGAAATTTCATACTTGCACTTGGCTTCCGTGCACGCGATTGTTGGGTACTGATTTCTTGACCACATTTTCTTTTCTTCTTCTAGGATTAGGATTAGTGTAGTTTTCTTCTTTTAATCACGTAGTATAGTTGTGTGATTGTACTTTGATTAGTATGCTTCAACATTTTAATTGTAATTTGATCATTATACGAAGTGAACCATGATTTGTATTGCTAATATATCTATTGTGCACTCTGTGTATTTACGTATTTATATGCATGAAAATCATTACTTGTTAATTATTGATGAATATTTGGAAACAAGTAACTATTAATCTCTGCTCCATTTTTTCTCATTCCTTAAAACTTCAAAACGTACCTAAATTGAAACGTTTCTCGTGCTAGTTCAGATAAAAAGAATCCGTAAACAAATTTCATCGTAAGCATATATATAAAATGAAAAATAAACTAAAAGAAAACTGAATTAATTAATAAGAAATCACCATAAAAAATAACTATGAAAATCTAGAAAACATTTAATTTTCCTGTGAGAATGTTTGGTATCTAGAATATTTTTACTTTCTGATAGAAGGAAGTAGGAGAGGTGAAGAATGGACTCCTCCTTGACTCCTCCTAGGCACGGATCCTCTTCAATGGAGATGAGACCGAGATGATGAACACCTTAGAATGAAGAATACTTGCGGAAGGTAAGGTCTAAACCTTAGAGGGAAGCATCCAAGCTCAAGCACTCAAGGGATTGCACACTTCAAAGAGAAGGAAACTAGGTTTTCCTAAGGAATTGAAGGCACTCTCTATGGCTCTCTCTTAGAACTTCGGTGACTCTTGAATTGGCTGAAAACAATTTCAGAATCTCATATATTCAAAAGTGTCTTAACATGGTAGGAAAAGATACACTTATAGGAGGGAAATTAGGTTAAACTTGGCGGCAACTCAAATAAGCCTAGTTGGCGCCAAGTTTGAATTTCAAATTTGAATTTGAAATTCAAACTTTGGCCACTCACATGCTTAATCCGGTTGCTACCATCATTTAGATGTCATTTATGAGTTATTTGAGGTGAATTTGGAGCTCACATGGCCGGAACCACTCCATGCCATCCATGTGACTCAAATTCAACTCAAATTACTTCTAAATTACACATGAATGAAACCTAATTCTCCTATTAATGTATACTTCATATAAACCTAATCTATTGACCGAAATACATTGGTCTAATGAATACAATGAATAGAAAAAAATACAAGAAGAAGAATGAGCCTAATATTGGGTATCAAAAGCTCAAAGCCCATGAAGCCCAAATATAAGCCCAAAAGCCTAAACCCTAAACTATGGTCAAAATACAAGACCGAAATCAAAGAAATTTCCTATACTAAGAAATATACAATAAAGCATGGTGTTTAATCATGTAAAGTCCATGTGAGAAGCACCCTAGGCCCACCAAGCCCATTGGGCCCACTAAGCTCTGAAGCAGACAAGTCTTCAAGTAATCTCCTGGCCATAGCTCTAGTGGTTGGGCCTTTAGCACATGCTCTTCCATCACTTTCTTAGGAATCTTAAGTTAGAAATTTTGATTTTTTATATTTGATAGCTATTTAAAAAAATAATTTTCAGGAATATAGTTTTCTCGAAATCATTTTTATTGTACTTTCCCACAAAAGTATTTTGAGGGTGGTTGAGAATCCAACTTTTTTAAGTTCGGGAAAAAGTTTTATGTATATAAAAAGACTACAATATCCCTTTTTAAAATAGAAAATCTTTCTCTTTCTATTTTTCTTTCTTTCTCTATGTCTCTCTTTCACTTTCACTGCCCCTCTCTTCCTCTCTCTCCCTCTCCCTCTCCTTCTTAGATGACAAGTAAACTCATACTTGTGGGTAATTTTTAAATCTATCTCGACTTTGATGAAGAATACTCAATTTGACTAAACATAAGTACGTATACAGATAATACCTAATTTATTAAATCAAGTACGAGGATGGAGATGAGTACATACATGCTCGTCTTGTACTTATGCCCGTTGTAAAGTTTATTAACATTTATGTATTTGTTTTTAATTTATGTCAAATAAAGTTTAATTAATGTAATTTTATAATTGTTATTCTATGTTGAAATTCTTTGTTTATATATTTTTATAAAAAAAAAATTTGGATGGGTACAGGTATACTTGATTGTCGACAGGTACGAAACTACAAACACAAATTTCATGCCTATCAGATATAAGAACGATGATAGATATGAGATATGGAAATATAAAGGTGACCAAGGATAAAGAAACTCAAATCTGTTCCACTCCATTGTCATCTTAATTACTCTCTTTCCTTCTCTCTCTCTCTTTCTCTTCGTCTTTCTCACTCTCACTCTCACTTCCCCCTCTCCCTCTCTCCCTCTTCCTCTTTCTCTCTCTTGCACTATCCATCTCTCTATTTCTCTTTCTTCCTCTCTCTCTTTTTCACACTTGGTCTCACTCCCCATCTCTTCTTCTCTCCCTCTTCCTTTCCATTTCTCTCTACCTTCGATATCTCTATTTCTCTCTTTTTCTTCTTGTATCTCATTATTTCTTGACCTTGTCAATTTTAATAATATTATTTATTTTGTTTCTACAACTTAATGGTATTTGTTAACACTTTTTATTTATTTATTGAAATGAAATGAAATAATATACTTTTATCCTTCTTATTTATTATGTAAATTTTTTCTTTGTTTATTTCTTTTGTTAAATTTTGTATTTAAATAATTTTAACGGTAAGTTTTTAACTTTTTAAAATAATTTAATGTCATATTTATAATAAGATTTGAGTAAATAAAAATATTTAATGAGATTATTTTAATAAAAATATTTTTGGAAAAAATATTTATATATCCATAATATACTATTCTAACCAAATATGAAATCTTTAATTCCTAGAAATTTTGTATGAATATTCTCAAGAACTTTTATCATAATTTTTTAGTATATGTAAAAACTTCTTCCCTACCAAACACTCTCAAACAGTATTTTGCTGAAAATTTTCCGCCATTAATATGCAGTCTTGTTATTGCTACTTTTTAAATATTTTTTTGTGCCACCAATACATTTTTTTTGTCCTTCTATAGCACCATATAACTACGATTTAAATAGCATTGTTTAGTTCAAAATTAATTACTATAAAGTTTGTCAACAATTTGTAAAAACATTTACTATATATAAATATTTATGTTTAATACAACATTTCATTATTGAGTTTTTGTTTTAATTATATCTATTTCATGATAATTGTAGATTAAATATAACTAATCATTGTTGAGAAACACACGTACATCCATACATACATATACATGTAACGTAGGAAAAAAAAGTGTGATTGATTTAGTAGCCCAGAACAGGTCGTTCCCAATCTGGAACGGGCCGTTCTAAGCTATTAAATTGAACTAAAAATTGTAGTTGAGAACGGGCCGTTCCGGATGAGTCCCAGAACGGGCTGTTTTGATTTTAAAACGGGCCGTTCCGAATGGAAATTTTGAACGTGATTGAGGGGTGCAGAACGGGCCGTTTCGGTATCGGTACAGGCCGTTTTGGCCAATCCGAAAAGTCTATAAATAGGGGTTGGGGGCCTTCAGGAAAATGTGAGTTTTTAGAGAGAAGTTTTAGAGAGAAGGTCTCTGGGTCAGTGAGTTTCTTTCTCTCCCAAATTTCTCTGTTTGACTCCTTTTCTCCTGTAAACCACTAATGCCTTCTGGCTTTTCTTGAAATTTAGATTAGAAAGCTTGCTTTGGGAGGATTGAAGTTTCGGGTTGAGTTTTGGAAGGGAATTCTATTTCGTCACAGTTGTTGGCTATTCTGAGCCAATCTTCAGGTGAGGGAAGCTAGAGTGTAGAATGATTAAGTTGTTGGGTGTGGATTGAGTAGTTGTTAACTTAAGTTGTTCATATGTTGTGTGTTGATAATATGTGATACGTTGTTAAAGTTGCTATACGTGGTAAAACTAAGTTATTTTTATGTTGTTTATTATTGAATTATTAATAAGTTGAGATGTATAAGTTGAAGTAGTTTATTGATGTAAAAGTTGTTTAAAGTTGCATAAGTTGCCTATTGTTGAAAGATGCTTATTGTTGTAAGTTGCCTCTTGTTGTAAGATGTCTATAGTTGTATTGTTGTGAGTTGCTATAAAGTTGTAAGTCGTATATTGCTGTAAAGTTGTAAGTCGTCTATTGCTGAAAAGTGGTATGTTGTTTAAGTTGGTATGCTTATTAAGTTGTGAGTTGATTGTGTTGTTCAAGTTGAAAGTTGTTGAGCTGATATATGTTGTTAATTTATAAGCTAATTAAACTGTGATAATAAGTTGTTGATCACTAAGACTGGGGGAGATGTTTTC